ATTTCTTACATTAAATATAGAGATTTATTTATTATTATTTTGACGTAAAATATTTTTGGTATTATTCTCATTACGAATAATAATGTTTTCATTTTTAATATAAATATTATTTAATGCATTACGATCAATTAAACAAAATAATAAGGATATAAAGAATTTGATGATCCATAAGTAGTACACATAGTACATGCTTTAGGTTAATCTGCAATTATTAATGCCAATTATGGATAAATCACTTAATATTATTATTGACATATAAATATATGCTTTTATTGCTTATAACTTTTAATAGTTGTAATATTGTTTTAAGTGAATAGTAAAAAAGATTTTATATTGCTAAGCAAAATTATATTAATTATTTTCTGATAAACTATGATATTCAAGACTAGAAATATATTATAATAAAATTTTAGCATCAGTTTTATTATGATGAGCTAAAGGAATATTTTCAAGTATCATAAATATTGGATGTTGTGAAGTTTTACCTAATTAATCACAAAGTATAGAATTTGCATATAAAATAATTGGCATAACATATGCTCTAATAGGAAGATTTTGTTCTACATTTTCCTACCAATTAAAATCATATATATTTGTATATATACATTAATTGGAATTCTAATCAATAAAAAAAATTAATATAATGATAAATAAATAAAATAATATTCTAAGTAATTATACTTACATTTTTCTTAGATAATTTATATTTGAATATAAATTCCTTTATTATATCTTCATTCATTAAAATTTGATGTATACTATCAAATATTATCCTATGTTCAAAAATATATTCCTTTTCTTTATATTTAATATACTTTCTTTTCGCTATCCAAATATGGAAATTCTAAATTTTCTATAAATTCTCATCTAACTTGTAATGTTGATAGTAAAAATTGTATAAAAGCATTGGCAAGTGGATTTTGTACATGAAATTTTATTACTATATGCATAAATTCTGCATATTCTTCAGATGAAAATTCTTAATAATATTATTAAAATTATTTGGTATTCCAGTAGATAAAGCATAATCTTTATTATATTTATTGCATTAGCATTTATTATATATGATAAATTAAATACAATAGATTCTTCATCAGATGAATTGTTAATTTTAAAATTATAATTAGATAACATATGATTAAGATCATTAAAATCCTGTTTTTCAATAAATCTATATATATTTAAGTTAGAATTTTGTTCAATAGATTCATCTATATTCTCATTATTCTCATCAATATTCATATTAAAATTTTGTTTAATAGATTTATCTACATTTAAATTAGAATTTTGATCAATACATATTATCTTATAAACTATTCTTTCATGATTGGATATATCTTGATTATTAAAAATCTGTGAAGTTGTTTCAATTTTATGAGTTATTTGATTTGGTAAATCTTCATTACTATCATCTAAATGTGTTTTTATATGATTACTTAAAACCTGTTAGTCTTTAAAAACTCTATTGCAATAATAACACTTTGGCATTATGATAATTTGCTATAAAAATTAAAATATAATTGATAAATGTTAAATTAATATATATTAAAACATTTAAAAGGTTAAATAAAATTTAATTAAAAATAAGTTTAAAAATAATAAAATTTAAATATATGTATTAGTATGTATTTTAAAAAATGAAGTTTTAAAAAATAATAAAATTTAAAAATATTTAATAATATGTATTTTAAAAAATGAAGTTTTAAAAAATAATAAAATTTTAATAAAATTTAAATAAAAAATGAAGTTTTAAAAATTTATAAACAAGATTTAAGATAAAAATAAATCCTTACTTGTGAGGTATTATATAAAAAATCTTTATAAATATTTATTTTATCGATCAAATTACAATTGTTTTTGTTTATATTTATAAATTAATTTAAGTTACACAAATTTTAGCCAATATTTATCACATGTTTCAATTATTATAAACTTTTCATAAACTATTTTTATTTTTATATTTTATAAATATGCTCGTAAACATAGATTTCTTTTTTACTCACTTTCTTTTTAAAATTACAAAATAATTCTGCAAATATGAGACGTAGTAAGAAACAAAATCATATAAAACTGTACAGCATACTTATCTCAAATTATTATTAATGGTAATATTAACGAATCTGAAAAAATTTAAAGTATTTTAAACAGTCCTACTCAAATAAATTTAGATAAACTAAGATTAGAATATTTGGATATTATCAGTAAAAATGATGTTTTACAAGAACAGGAAGACATTTTAAATGATAGAAATGAAGGAAATAAAATAAACAACTTTGCTAATGGAAATTATAAGCGAATAACTAATAATATAGAAAAAGAAAATAGAATACAAAAAAATTCGTTAGTTAATTAATGATTTATTATTTTATGAATTAATTAATTATTTATTTTAATTTCTTTTAGAGTATAGTTCAATGATTAGTGATATGCAAAATGTGCAGACTTGTATGCTTGAAATTATTCAAGTTATACAAAAAAAGTTAATTAAATGTATGTAGATTGGAAAGCAGCTGGCTTTGGTGATAGTCAAGTAAAAAGTGACAACTGGATAAATGTAAGTATTGAGACGAACCAATTTGAAATATTAAACGATTTATTTTATTTTATTTATTTTCTTAAATAATACAATAAATATTACATTATAGAATACAATTAGCCAAGCAATTTATGCTGAATCTGAAAAAATTAAATATCCAAATGATGAACGTTTGATGCAAGTATGTTACGTTGCTCTATTGAATACAAATAAGGAAGAATTTTAAAAAAAATAAAAAATGAAGGATGGAAACGATTTTATACTAAATATATTCATTCATTGGTAAGTAAAATAGTAATTATAATATTTAATTAATGTATTTTACTTATTTTATTTTTTTGTTTTAATAGGCTCAAAGAATTTCACGTAAAGCGTAAAGTAATATTGTACAGCGTATTAAGGATATTATCCATAGTGAATTTACCAATCTTCCTAAACCTAAAACAGAAAATTGGCAAGTTACACAAAAAGAAGAACGAGATTCAAGGATGCTAAAATTGCACAGGAATGTTATATGAAATTAAACAAACCTGTTGATTCTAATGATCCATCTTATACTTTTCTTAATTTAATTATTGATCGGGCATTTACTGATCCAAATACAGAAAAAAATTCTATTGCATTTGGAATGGCAGTTACACTAAATTATCTTGATCCTTCGAAGGGCATCAAATTAATTCAAAGCGAAGTTGTAGAGCGAATGAATCCATTACTTGAATATGCAAGTTGCAGATCGTGAAGAAGAATGAATATTTCGTAGTATTTTTATAATTATAATTATTTAATATTGTAATATAAAAGTATTTCATTGTAATATAAAATTTATAATAAATTTATTTGCTTAATTCGTGCTTAAATATTATTATAAAATCAATGCTATTAATAAAATTATATTATAAATATTTAAATTTAATATTTTAATTATACTTAATTTTAACGTTGTAATAATGAGGTATTACCGATTGCAGCAAAATGCCAGTACCCATCAAACATAGGGTCCGTTGAATCCTGTTTAACAATACTTAAAACAATTACTATTAAAGTATTTTACAAATGCTTAACTAGTATTTTGTTATATATCGTGATGTCGTAATCAATTTGACTTTAATAAGTAATTGTTATCGGTCATGTTGTGGATGATAATTGATTACATACTAGGGTTACTACTTTATCATGTGGATAAGGTTATTGAATATGTATGATGTAAGCACTGATCCTTTTTTATATAAATATTATTATTGATACAAACTTTTTTCTCGCGCTTTTTTTCGCAAATTTTAATTTTTTTATAAAAACTTTATAAAAAAATTATGAAATTTACAAAAGCCCTCTCAACTTCCAACACAGGAGGAAATCAATGAATTACAACAAGTATCGCTAGTTTCAAATACTGAAAAAAATACTTCAAAGTGGCTTCGAGTTGAAAGATTTAATAAAAGTTTTGGTATATAATGATTCGCCTATATCTACTGCCCAAGAAATCCAATTTCCTATAACTCAAACTCATTCTCAAGCTTCTGCAACACAAAATATTCAAAATTCAAGTCAAGTTAATATATCAGGAAATGTATAGACTTCAGTACAGCACCTAATTCCCCAATGATTACTTCTTATGGCAAAAAATGCAAAGCATTTATCTAGTACTAATAACCGAAATCCTTAACTTGCATTAATAACAATATTATAATTAAACTTCCGCCTGGTACCTTTTCACAAAGTTATAACCTAAATATTAATTTAAAACTAACATAATTATAAATAATATGATTGCTTTATTATAAAGTGATCAAAATTTGTGTATTCAATAATAAAAGTAATCAAACTTTGTGTATTCTAATAATAAGTGAATGGAATTTGCGTATAAGTAAACTCAATAATATTCATGAAAAAGGATCGATATACAATAATGGTACATATTGAAATGGAATATTTGAAGTCGGGGTTGAAATAATGGTTAGTTTCATTCTTATATAGAATTTCTTTTAAATCATCATACAATTCAGACAAAAACATAACATTTTACTAATAAACATGAAGATAAAACTTTTGGACCAACTAGTTAAAATTTTATTTAAACAGACAGTAGGAAGCGGAGATGCATTTTGATTAAGAAACAAAATCAAAAAGGAAATTCCCCTTCTTGTTATTTAAGTCCTTATTAAATTCGAATATTGAAGTATATAAATACAAGATTATAAAAGAAAATTTTCTGATCGTATTTACTCCGAATTATATTTAAACAATTTACAACCATTTGTAATTTTTTTAATAAATAGAATTTACCTGTTTTTTGATTTAATATTTCAATTTATAGGACCTTTTCAATAAAAAAGAAACTGCCAGAAAAAAAAATAAAAACTTAAAAATTTATTTAGTTTTACTTAATTTTTAAAAATTTCTAAATAAGATAACTTTAACTTAGTACATCATCAATTGTTTGTATCATATTTTAATTAACCAATTTTTATTTCTCGCCGACGATCCTCAAAATTTCATTTTGTTTTCTCTTTTGATACCATTTATAGCCAAGGAATCCGATTAACATAACAAATGTAGTACCTAAAATTCCACTTATTGCAGCAACAATCGTATTTTTTTGACCATCAATAGTTTTTGGAGAAGTCGAAGCAGTTGTCGAAGAAGTATTTGGTAAACTTGTATTTGAAGGTGTAGGCACAGTTATACTTTTCAGTTCAAATTTACCAACCCAAGTATAGTTTCTAGTATCTAATAGGTAAATTTTGTTTGACCGAGAAATTTCTGTTAAACCATTTGGATGAGTATTACGACCTATATAATTCAATAATCATTTCACTTATTAGATAGTCAAAATAAATATATTAAGTATAACGTATAAGGAGTACTTGCCAAAAGCAGCAATCATATAATATTCAACTAAATTTGCTGAATGATAAGTAAGTGATGGAAATTCGCCAATATTTGATAATACTTGCGGTACGGTCCATTCAAATGGAGTTGTTTGAGTATTCAAAACAGCCAGGTCTGGTGTGGCTTTAATAGATTTACCACCACCACCTTTCATCCCACCATTTATAATTATTCTTCCATCTTGAACTACAAAATTAATAGTATGATGTTATTATTGTTAAAACATAGTTACCACATGATAATGAGATATACCTAAGACGGTCGAATGACCGTGACGAGATTCAATTTGTCCATTACTTCTTGTTTGCTTAAATAAATTTTAATTAATTATTTAAGTAATAGAAATAGCATAGTTACTGATATATACAGTACTTACCATAACCGACCACTTGTCATTTTTTGTATCATAAAGATTGATTTGCTTAATATCAACTTCCCGTCCAATTATATCAGAAGCATTAACATATTCATAACCTCCGATATATACAATCACACCATTTGATAAAAATGTTGCAGTATATACACTTCGTTCTAAAGGAGCATTAGCAACAGAACCATATGACCACGTTAAATCATCAGTATTTAATATAATCATATCATTTAAAATTGTTCCTAAAGAATTTCCACCACCAAAAACAAAAATTTTTCTATTATCAGTGACAGCTTGCATGTCTCTTCGTCTCACTGGATCAGTTCCTGTAATTATGGGTACACTCCATTGACCGGATTTTGAATCAAATGTATGTACTAGTGATGTATTAAACTCTTTATCATTTTGATCCTTCGTCAATCCTCCAATAAGGTATATGGTATTATCATTTATTGCAACAGTAGTCGCCCAACAACTTCCAAAATCTATTCCCGAATTTAATGTAAGTTCGGTCCATGATGGGAACCCCGTATCAAATTGTTGAGACACATCAAGATAGAATACTTCATTTGTACAAGCACTTTCATTTCTTCCACCAAAAAAATATATTTTGTTTCCAACAAGGACAGATGAATGAGCATGACGTCCTACAGGAGTAAATGACTCAACTCTAAAAAGCAAATGAATAATTATGAAGGTTAAGCATAATTTAAGTAATTTATTATATTTTTTGTAAGTCATAATTCAAATTGTAAAGTAATTTATTTTAAAAAAAAAAAATTTTTTTTTTTATAAATTTATTACCTTACACTGCATTTTATGCGCCCACTTATTTTTTTTTTTATGGCACATTCTAATACAAAATTCATGATAAATGCCGTGTAACATGGTTTTTCTTGTACTGGAACACCAAAATTGTCGTACAAACATAATACTGTATATATTTAATTTAAATTATACATTTATTTGAAAATCAGAGAAAATACACAGACAAATAAGCAAATGAACAGATTTCGAAACAAGTAAGTATTGTACATTTTTTAAGTAGCTTTCTTTGAACGTTTTTCATTCGTAACGAATCTAAAAATGTATGACAAATCATACTAAAAGCGCAGTAATCATTTGAAACAATCATTACAATAAACCCAATTTTGAAGAAATTTTTTAAGTCCACGCATTAACATTTTCGGTTCACGTCACCTGGGCGGTCACCTAATCGTTAAATTCTAATTGATTAAGCTACGCAAAAGAATAAAATTATTTAATGAAATTACTTCATAAAACTTAAAATTACTAAGGCGATAATATCGTAAGAAAAAAGGGATAGAAATATAAGAAGGCGACTAAGCTTATAAAGGGGGAGGAAACCTTAATTAATTTTTTTTTTTAAAAATTACAATAACTAAAATAAAAAATTATTTACCTTAGGACATACTTATAATATTTGGACTTGTCCGTTAGACTAATTATAAAAGGATTCTAAAAGAACTTGCTAAATTCTAAAGGAATCTTGGCATCTTAATTTCGGGTGGATTATATCTAATGTAACCATACGAAAATTAACTATTGAAATTAATTCTCGTCATTTCTTGGTTTACTTGATTTTTTATAGTTCTAGTCTTTGATTTTTTCTCTTTTCAATGCGGAAAATGATCATCAACCGATTAACAAGCCAATCCAATCACATCGTTATGATTTTTTACATGTAAAATTTTTTTATTAAAAACCCCGGGACCCCGGATCAATTTTAAAATTAATGTTACGTGAACCGATGCTAATTTGCGTGACCTAATGGAGACCTTGAAAACAAAGAATTCCAAAGACATCTGCTATTAAATTATGGATGTCAAGATTCACTCAAGAAAATTCAACAAAAACGGCATTACAAACCAACCTGTCTAAAAATTCAACGGAAAGTTTTATTATGAATGACAATGAAATAGTAGCAATAGAATTACTAAAATAGCACTTTATGTTTTTCTACAGTTATTTGAAATGTAATAATAAATAAATAAAGATTGAATTCATCACAATAACAAGCATTTATCGTGCTCGCCCATATGATGTAGACGATCTTGTTTTTTAATATTATATTATTTTTGAAGCTTATATAAAATAAACTATACAATAATATATTTTAAACTTATAAATATAACCTTAAAAAATACTTATTTTATACATTTAATTAATTTTAGTATACTACAAAATTAAATAAAATTTTAACTGCTAATATTTTGAAATTAGTTCTTCTGATCTTTGCGATTAATTTTGAATATTATTTATTATTGAAGTGGTTGACGAAAGGAATTTTTTTATTATTGCAGTATTAAATATTTATTATCAAAAAAAAGTTAAGGATAATAAAAGAAAAAAAAAATAACCGAAGCATGTATTTACCATTATAAATTTGCCATAGATTGAAATATAGTTTTTTTAACAATAATATTTTAATATGGCACAGACATAATTGTTAAGAACATTAATATTGAATAAAACAAGATGTCTTTTATGAATATATTATTAAAATTGTCAGGATTCGTTCCGTAAGTTTTTCTAAAGAAAATTCGCTTAAAAATAAAAATTTTGGAGGTTTGTTATTAAAATCAATTTAGGAATTTACGATTTACTGTGTTCGTAATTCGATTTTACCACAATCCTCCCATTTGATAAATCATATTTATAAAACAAAAAGTTAGCTTTTTAGTAGATTCTAAAGAGCGATTCTTCCATTTTGATAAAAGAATTTAATATAAATTATGAGTAAGAGAATGAAATTGAACTTTCACATAATAAATTTAAGTCAACATCATAAAATCACACGACGATATCGTTAATGTGCTTGCGTTAATAAATGATCAAAATTATTATCATAATGAATTAGATTCAACGCAATTAGTTTAGGTTACATTTATAATGAACTGTAAATATATTTGTCAAAAAAGTTTATTTTTATTTTGTTTGTATCCTATGCTGAATTTTTAAATGGCGTTTTTTCTCATAGATCAAGTTTCGTTGAGATAAACTATATAAATTATCATTATCTGGTAATTTCACAGTGGTGTGCAAAAAAAATGGCAATTTTTGGAAAATTGATCATCAAGTGTAACTAACCCAATTTTGGTCGCACATGCACAAATAAATATGCAAATGAAAGTCCCATGATTTACTATTAAGCACTTGTAAAAATTTCAATTTATTAAGCGTTAAAACGACTAGAAACGTAACAAAAAAGCAACTTTACATTTATGGGAGCAAAAGAATACGTAATGCTGTCGAAATACACTTAAAACAAAAAGATTTCACTTAGGATAATATATAACAACCTTAAAAAATTAAGAGAATGGAGATATTAAGCGTAAAAATGGTAGCAGTCGCATTAAAAAAATAACCCCACATGCATTCTGAGCTTATTCGAAGGGAACCTTCAGTTTCTACTGGTCATATTGGAAAATATAGGAGTAGAAGTCTCCCGCTCAACAGTTTCGAGACATTTGGCTGGGCTTGGATATCGAAATGCACTTCCTCTTCGCATACCAATGCTAACTGAAGTCTATAGACAAAAACGAGTTTAATGGGCCAAAATCATAAGGATAATGATTGGAAAACAACCCTATTTAATGATAAAATGGCTTTCCAATTATTCTGTAATACGATAAAGCATTAGTATAAAAATGCAAGGCCAATTCGTCCAATGCCAAAAGATCGTAGTAAAATCTTTGCCTGGGATAGTTTTGTGTAAAGGGTACCACCAGTCTTTTTTGTTTTAGGCGTACAATGAATGGAAAATTCTATACAGATATTAGAAAAATATATCCCGGAAGTGCACAGTATATTACAGGACAATTGGCGGTTACAGCAGGACAATGATCCTATGCATACTAGTTCAGTTGCTAAGGATATTCTTGCTAGAAAAGTCCCAGAGGTTATGGATTGGCCTTCTAATAGTCTGGACCGAAATCTCATTGAAAACCTTTGGGCAATTGTTAAAAATATGTAGAACTGCGTAAGCCAAAATATCAGAGTATTTTTTGGGGGAGGAATAGGAGAAAACTTTCTAATTAAACTTGTGAACTCAATGCCACAACGTTGCAAGGAGGTTATCGAAAAAAAAAATGGTAAAAGAATATCATACTAAATTTTTTAGTAAAAATATACTGGTTATTGTCTTTAAAATGATATATATAAAATTTAATTGGTTTAACCGTTATTGAACTAGGACCGTTGTTAAGTCCGGAATGATCTTAACTAAAAAAAAGATTGCAAAAGCCAATCAGAATCGACTCAATTATTGAGTGGACATAGTCCTTCACTTCGTTCTGGACTAATAAACGTGATTTAAAAAATTGCCATTTTTTTGCACACTACTATATTATGTTATAAGTGAAAAGCGAAACATCAAGATCTGTGATGATTTCCATTATGAAATATCTATAACTCGCGGATTGTCAATGAATAAACAAATAAACCCTTTGGGTTCCCAGTTCAAATTTTAAATTTTAAATTTTAATGATACGTGAACAGAAATTGCTAATTTGTGTGGACTTTAGTTTA